CTTTCACCCTAGTTCTGTGCTATCTCCCTCAAGGCCCATGTTTGCTGACAATCCAGGCCAGAGGTTGGGCTACTCAGCCTGTTGGTGGTTATTTTGTCCTCTAAGAAGCGTCGTAGTAGCACATATGGGTGCACATTAGGTACACACACACACATACCCATGTATGTATATTATGTATATATATATATGTGTATATACATACATACACACATCATAGGGAGCATCTCCCATGTATATATATTATGTGTATGTATGTGTATATACATACATACATACACATATTATAGGGAGCATCTCCTATAGTGCAGACATCTGAGGCACAAGGAGCTTCTAATCTCTTGAACTCACAAGATTATCTTCAAGGATAGCCCATCTCAGGATAGCCACTGGATCATCTATGCTCAGGGGAAAAAATACAAAGCAGAAGTAGCAGCTAGGGTTTTGAGATCCAGTCTCAAGCTCAGCTAGGATACCTGTAGCTCGGAACTCCTGGGCCCAAGCCTCAGCCTTCCCTATCACAGAGATTACAGGTTGCCTCACCATGCCCCATTAGGGTCACTTCCCTGAGATCTACCTAGTGGAGAGCTCTTCCTAGTTCAGTGGTCCATCTGCTCTGATGCAGGACATCTACCCCTGCTGCCTCCACAGGGATTCTGCATCATGCCAAAGGAACAAGTACCATTTATTATCAACATGTAATGTTTGAGATACCCATGTGACAGTGAGTTTGGAATATCCAATCAATAGCTGATGATTCAGGACTGAGTCTCAGAAGAGAGACTGAGACTGGATATATAGATCTTTGGATGTCTATGTCAGCGTCATTTACCTGGAGATGATAACTGACATAATGAGATCTGATGAGATTGCTGAAAGAATAAATAGAGAAAAAAAGGGTCTAGGACAGAACCTTGGGGGTGCACCCATAAGTTAGGGATTGTGATATGGATGATGAATCAGCAAAATAAGCCTGTGGGGGGAGTAGCTGAACAGAAAGAAAGAGAATCAGAAGAGAGTAATGTCACAAAAATCCAAAAAGGAGAGGATATTCAGGAGAAGATAATTAACAGTGTCAAATGCTGCAGAGAAGTCAAGGAGGATGAGGATTGAGAAGAGGAAGGAAGGAAACAGGCCTTTATTAAGTGCCTACTATGTTTCAGGCACTGTGCTAAGTGCTTTACAAATATTATCTTATTTGATCCTCACAACAACCCTGGGAGATAGGTGCTATTATTATCCTCATTTTACAGATAGAGAAACTTAGGCAGTCAGCCATTAAGTGACTTAAGTGTCTGAGGCAGGATTTGAACTCGGGCTCCATTAGATAAGGAAAGATTGGAGATTAGAGGAGAGGAGATGATGGTAGAGGCAATCTGCTGGAGAAAAGGAGAGGGAGAGGATCAGGGGGACACCTAGAAGGGTTTGCCTTTGTGAGGATAAGGGTTACAAGACTTTAGTCTTTAGAAAGAAGTGGTAGGGGGTGATATTAAGGAATTTTGATATGAGGAGGGGAAGGAAGGGTAAAGTATTAGGGTAACCCACTGAGCACTTAACTGAAAGGGACCTTAGATAACACCTAATTCACACTCCTCATTTTACAGATATGGAAAGAGAGGTCCAGAAAAGTGAGAGACTTGCCCAAGGTCACACAGTCAGTGGCACAGCTGTGATTTAATTTCCTGGTTTCTGGATTCCCAGGTCATGGCTCTTTCTACCACACCAGGCTACCTCCCTAGGCTGACTCATTTTCTGCCATCTCCAGTTTTAAGGCTAATGGCTTAGCTCCCCAAAGGCTACCCTAGGAATAGGGCAGCAGCTAAATTTAATGCAGGGCCCTGGTGCCTGCTCCATTTTTCCACCCGCACCTGCTCCTGACACTTCCTTACAAATATGCTGTTGGTGGGGGAGGGGGAAGACTGTGGGTCTCTCTCTCCCTGAAATGTATTGGCTCTCTCCACTGCTTTGCTAACCTTATAGTAGGTCCTGGAATAAGAACATGACCTCTGTCCAAGACTAGCTCATCTCAGGGTCTCTCTTTGCTGTCACCACCAACGGCAAAAGAGAACACTATTTCACCATCAAAGATAATAATAATAATAACAAAATAATGATAGTATTCATAATGGATGATGAACATTTACATAGTGCTTTAAGGTTTGCAAAATACTTCACCAATGTTATCTCATTTTCCACATTCCATGAGTCCCTCTCTTTCCCCTACTTTCTGACCTTTCTAAGCAGTACCAGAAAAAAACCTGGCACATATTAATTACTTAATAAAGTAATACCTCTCCAAACGAAAGACTTCCTCGGGGTTTAGAAAATTGGGGCAATCACTCCAGGTGTTGGCATTCTGGAGGAGCCCTGTGTTGTTGCAAAGATCCAATCTAAAGGGGTGCAGAGAGGTGTCCATGTAATTAATTGGACAGTGACTCAGGGAGATAGCCAATGGGAAGGAGTTCCTTTAGCTGGTGTTAAAAGGCTCCGCATAAGTATAGTGCAAAGGAATGAAATAAGATAAAGTGGTGTCATCACCTTGGAGGTGGGTAATTTGGGGCAAGGAAAAGAGCACTAGCTCTGGGGGCCAGAGGACCCCAATTCAAATCCTACCTTTGCCACTTACCACCTCTATGACCTTGGGTAGTCAGTCAACAACCATTTATTAAACTCCAGAAACTGGGAATAAAATTTTGTAGAATGAAACCATTCCTACTCTCAAGGAGCTTACATTCTAAATGGGTAGACCACAAATTCATATCTAAAAATACACAAAATAAAGTGAACAAATACAAATGATGGCAAGATAGTTTTGGGGAGGGGCACTAGCAGTCAGGGAGATCAGGAAAGACCATACTGAGAATTGGCAATACACAATCCCTAACTCTGAAGGGCATATAGTCTATTTGGGGAACTAAGATAAATATGAAAACTAAAGAATAGATGAAGCGTCATAGTATGTGAACAATAAGTGTTATCGCAGGTAAAAGGAGGTAGGTTGCATTGTGATCAGACTTCCCATTGTATCATCCTCCCCCTTGGCAATGACTTTACCCAGCAAACCTCATGTAGGACTTAGTTTCCTAACTCCCTGATGCACTTTAATTTTTTTTCTTTTTCTCTCTTTATTGTTTGATCAATTGATTTTTCTTTGATTTTTTTTTATTTTTAAGATTCATATTTTAAAATTTTGAATTCCAAATTCTCTCCCTCACTCCCACCCCTCCCTCACCCATTGAGAAGGCAAGCAATATATCATTTATACCTAAGAAGTCACGCAAAATATATTTCCATATTAGCCATCTTGGGGGGAAAACAGCAAAAAAATTAAAGTGAAAAAATATACTTCGATCTGCACCAAGAGTTCATCAGTTCTCTCTCCCTCTGAAGCTGGATAGCATTCTCCATCATGGGTCCTTTGGAATTGTTTTGAATGGGTTGTCTTGAGGCTAAATCTTTCACAACTGGTCACCCTTACAGTATTGCTGTTACTATGTTCAATGTTCTTAACCTTCTGCCCACTTCACTTGGATGCACTTCTCACGAAATATTACAATGACCTACATATGTGTTTTATCTCCCTATTAGACTTGAAGCTCTTCGAGGAAAAACAATGTCTTAGACAAGCTGTAATACCCACAGTGCTCTGTACACAGCAGGCATTTAGTATAAATTAAGTCAGAGAAATTGTGTTTACAGGTTTAGGTAGAGGAGGATCTTGAAAGACTGGTAGGAATCAGATAGGTGATGCACCAGAGTTCAATTCTCATCTCCAAGGCTTACAAACCTCAAAGTGTTATTTTTCTCTTCCTGTATTACTGCCTGTCAGGGCCCAGCACAGTGACACATCCAACAGGCTCCAGACTATGCTTTTATCAATTAGGTGTGTTTGAAATAAGGAGACCTAAGGTCACTGCGGTTCTGCAGCATTGGGGTTCAGAGGACAACTGAAGTCATAAGGCTACTACCTAGAAGCTTGAAGTGATTGCCCTAGACTTCCAATATCCACTTTGCAGGATGTTATGAGGAAGCTAAATTAGTATGCAAAAATATAAGCTTTTAGACGAGATAGAAAACAGGCCCAAACCCCTTCCTTTGCAGAGATCCTTGAGTGTGGTATACATTGCTTATTATTTTCTGACTTTTTCGTTGCATTGATCCGTTTTTTACTGGGCTTTTCTATTTTTTGGCCTTGTTTTCTTTAAAATTATAATAAAGTTTGTATTTATATATTTAAATGCATTTATAAAATCTTATATTTATAAAATTATAAAAATTATTTTGATTTGGGATGGCGCTAAGAGAAATTCTAGTGATATCAACAAAAACAAATATGAATAAAATTTTAATTCTAAACACACACACACACACACACACAAAACCCTGTGACTTTGGGACAAAAAAAAAAGCAAAACCATGAACTGCTATTTTTCAAAAGCAAAAAACTGTTTCCGGTTATCCATTGTTTTGCATTATCCGTGACTGAGGTTCTCGCCCCCAGCACTCGAGGCAGGGGGCGCCCTGGGCCTGCTCGCGGGGCGTTAGGTGTAGGATTCCCCGGGCTAATCCTCAGAGGTACTTTCCCTCCGCCAGGCGCGCGCCAACGACACCTCCAGCAGCCGACGTTCCCTAAGTCACGTCCCGGAGGCTACGGCGCTGGCGAGAGGGGTGCCCTCGCTGGTGCCTATCCCCCGCCTCTGGATTGCGCCATCGCCCGAGCTCACGCGCCGAGCCCGTGGCCCACATACGGCCATGGCCGAGCCTAACCTGGGAACTTTCGGTCCCCGGGACTTCCTCCGTAGCGGTAAAGAAACAGGCAATAATTTAACTACCCACTAACCCCTGAGGGGTCCTCGACAGGGACGCAATAACTAGGGCGACCCCCTCTGATTGACTGTCTTTTCCATCAATCACTTCCCGGAAACCTCGTCTGGGACCGCCCCCTGAGTGGCCGACAGACCAATAAAAGTAGAGCAAGCTCTAAGGGGGCGGTAATAGGACAGGGTAGGTTGTGGCGGTTTCCCAGGTTGTACGTGGAGGGGGTTGAGGAGTCTACGGGTGTCCCGACGATGTCCTGACAAGGCGCGGGAACGGCAGTGACAACGTGCAGAACCCTCCCCAACCAGCAAAGGAGGTGAAAGGAGCCGCTCAGCCCCCGAGGAAAGTCATAGCGGCGCTGTGTTGAGACAGGTTGCTAGGGGGTTCGTGGCCCTCAGGGGGTGGGGGAGGGGAGCAAACGACGAGCGGTTTTTCATGCGCATGCGTTTAAGTTGCCGCTGCCCGGGACCATCTTGATGCGCATGACTGAAGCCGGAGGCCGCTGTTGCCGGTGGAGTGGCGCCTGCGCGGTGAGGAGCCCGCTTAGGACAGGACTAGCCCCGGGTCTATAGTATGCTGGGCTGGCGCCCTGTGACGTAGTGAGGAGTCCTTTAAAGTGCTACTGAAAACCCTGCTCCGCAGAGCGGAACCGGATCGCACTTAATTGCAACCTGATTTCGTCGCTTTCTGTTCCCCAGGGGGCTGCTGCCATTGGAGCTGTGGGATGAGGCGGCAGAAGAGGTCTGGAAGACCTGGTGATGTGTTCCTCCCTTCAGCTGGAGACCTTTGAAGAGATCCCCGGAGGAGGCCCCGCCGCTTCTGCATGACACAGGCAGGCTGCTGCGGCTGAGGCCTCCCGGCGGCCACAGAGCCCCTCGAAGAGCCAGGATTCTGACTCGACGCCGGTGAATTCCTGCCTGTCCTTCAGCTGAAGAAGGGAAAAAGAAGCGGGGCACGCACGGTCGACGGGGCTTCACTTCTGGCTTCAGCAGGAAACTGGGCTTCAATCCTCGGGTCTTGTCCTTCCCCCATTCGCTGGAGGAAAGGGGTCAGAGGGATTGACTGCCGGGACTTTCACCGACTGCTCTGATCTTTCCCCTAAAGGCATACCGGGCTTTATTGCACGGAAGACTGGAACCTGAGACAAGATATCTGCCCCGACCCAGCTCCCGGAGAACCCCCATGAAGCATTGAAGCAAAGCATCCTCAAATGCTTTGAGAAGTGAGTGACCTATGGAGGATTGAAGGACCACCATCCCTTCCCCCCACCCATCTCCTAAGGAAAAGGGGCATCCTTGCGACCCTAAAATCTGCCTTTGGACGGGCCGTAGGCAAACCATCTTTTTCAGAAGGAACATTCGCATACAGCTGGTGCAGGCCATGAATAGCAGCAGCACTTCCCACTCTTCAGTTCCCAGAGTCGGGTATCTAGGAGATCAGTAGAGGAAAGGTGGGGGTGGGGTGGGAAGCAGCACCATGGCTGCTGCCAGCGGCTATACCGACTTACGTGAGAAGCTCAAGTCCATGACATCCCGGGATAACTACAAACCCAACAGCCGGGAGGCTGCCGTGGTGGCCGTTGCTGCTGCGGCTGCAGCTGCGGAGCCCTACACCATCCCGGCCAAACGTAAATACCACGAAGACTCAGATTCAGAGCGCAGTGACTACGAGGAGCAGAAAGAAGAGGAGGCCCGAAAAGTGAAGAGTGGCATCAGGCAAATCCGCCTCTTTAGCCAGGATGAATGTGCCAAAATCGAGGCCCGCATCGACGAGGTGGTGTCCCGAGCAGAGAAAGGGTTGTATAATGAGCACACGGTGGATCGGGCTCCCCTTCGCAACAAGTACTTTTTTGGAGAGGGCTATACCTATGGATCCCAGCTGCAGAAGCGAGGTCCCGGTCAGGAGCGGCTCTATCCACCTGGGGACGTGGATGAAATCCCGGAGTGGGTACACCAGCTGGTGATACAGAAGCTGGTGGAGCACCGTGTCATCCCTGAAGGCTTTGTCAACAGCGCAGTAATCAATGACTACCAACCCGGAGGCTGCATTGTCTCACATGTGGATCCTATCCACATCTTTGAGAGACCCATAGTGTCTGTCTCTTTCTTCAGTGACTCCGCCCTCTGCTTCGGCTGCAAGTTTCAATTCAAGCCCATCAGGGTCTCTGAACCAGTGCTGTTCCTGCCTGTGAGGAGAGGGAGTGTGACAGTGCTCAGGTAATGAGGGAAGGGACAGAAGGGAGTAACCTCTGCTATCATCCTTTAACCCACAACTCTATCCATCAAGTTAAGATAATGAATATCCTTTGTAAAAATCCTTTCCTTTATGGTGGTTGACCTATCCTATGGGTTAAACTGTATTGAGGCTTGATCTTAAAGTGGGAAATCCTTATCAAGGAAGTTTGTTCCTCTTCCCCCAGAAATGGAGAAGGAGAACATTGCTAAAACTTAGATTTAATGCACTCAGCACAAAGCCATAAGATTTTTCCAAGAATACTGTGCTGCTGGTTAAGACATAAATCTTTCTAAGATGCAGGTTTTGTTTTCTTGACCCTCTCACTATTTTTCATATGATCATAGATTTAGAGATGAAAGAGACCATCCAGACCAATCCCCTTATTTGATAGATGAAGTACCTTGGGGCTCAGAGAGGTTAAGTGACTTGCCAATGATCACATAGCATGCAGCTAGTAACTATCTGAGGAGATATTTGAACCCAGATCCCCTTGATTCCAAGTATAGCACTTGATCTCAGTCCTTCGTATGGAGGTATGTTAGAGTGTGCTTTCTAAATTATAAGTTTAGTAATTACATTCTTTTGACCTGGTGCTTTCCCCCAAAGTTGTATGCATAATATGTTTGTCTTCCCATTGGATTTTAATGAGAAAGCAAAATTTTACTTTAAACTGCTTCATTCTAGCTCAGAAATTTCAAGAATAAGAAAAGTAATCTCATTTCTTAGTCATAAGATAGCTAATGTTTATGAGTCCCTTGGAAACCTGTGATTTCAAAAAGTACCACAGAAAGTAATGTTGATCTTAACTTTCTATCCTGAAGGTCTAAAGGAATTTTAGTAGACAACATTTTAATCTTTAAAGTGCAGCAATGGATAGAGAAAGGTAGTCCCAGGGGTCCTTTTAATAGCATTATTGGGGGGTCACCATTAATATCATTGGGTGTGGAAGCAGTTGTTTCTTCAGTGTTTGTGGATGAGGGAGGAATCCTGTCAGGTCCCAAGAGCCAAAACTATGCTGCAATAGTAGGGAATTCCAAGCTGAGTGGTTAACTGAAGGTTGTTTGTGTCTGGGAAATAAACAGCAGCAGCAATACTTTGCTTCTTTGTTCATCTGAAACACCATAGAAGCCAGGATTTGGGATCCCACACAACCACTGAAAATCCAAATATTTGAGCCTTGTTTTGTTTCTTAGAATCTGTTTGTTTGTTCCAATATAGATTTATTACTTAAAGTACCTTTTAGTATAGAGATTTCCAACAAGAATTCCTCTAAAATTATTGGCCATAAACAATTCCACATAGCGTGGAATTACTGTAGTCCATCCCCAGGGAGACTTAGAGCCATAAAAACCAAAGGGGCCTTCAGAGCCAGGTCTGTACAGTTTTGTAGTGAGAATACATTTTGGAGTAGCTGTAAATTATTAGTTTTGATACTTTATTCAGGGCTTAAAAAGCATTCTGCTGAAAGTAAAATTTGTCATGTTATCCTTTTAGTTAATACGTTAAAAATATATCATAAAGCTCCTCAGACACAAAACATGGTCCCTCTAACTAGAGCTGTCCTCCACGCCTGGAAAATGTTCTCAAACCATCCTACTTGACAAGAGTGCACTAACAGAATTATACTGTCAGGAAAATTTCTTACTTCTTAGAGAACTTTAGCTCTAAAACCTCAAGTTTCTATTTATTTTTAGCCTTTCTAAAGTAAGGTTTATTTGTTAGGTTAGGTAGTCTATGTGATGATGTCATTTAAGGAGAAACACTTGGAGAAGTCTTCATCATAGATTTGGAAATGGAACGGACTTTGGAGAAGGGCTTCTTAACTTGTGGTCTGTGGATAGATTTCTGGGGGCTATTGAACTTGACCGGGGAAAACAGTCACATCTTTGTTTTCACTAATCTCTAACTGAAATTTAACATTTCTTTCAATTATGAAATAATAATGATGATGATGATTCTGAGATGAGGTCCCTAAACTCTACTAGATTGCCAGAGGGGTCTTTGACATAAAAAAGGTTAAGAACCCCTGCCTTAGAGGTACTAGATAACACTTATTTTATGGATGAGGATACTAAGGCCCAGAGAAGTTAAGTGACTTGCCCAGTATCACACAGTAGATTATTAAGTGTTTGCTATGTGCCAGGCACTGTATATAAATAGGAGAGTCAGGATTCAAACCCAGACTTTCTGCCTCCAAATCTAGTGCTCTTATCCACTGTATACTGGAAGCAAAGTCAGTTCTCAGCCTCCCTCTTACACCTCCTCACCCCCTTCCCTGCCTGCCCACATATCACCAAGTTAAAAAAACCAGTACTCTTGCAGACTTTTGGGGGGGGGTGGAGCTTGGCAATGGGATGAAGTGACTTACCATGGGTTATACAGCTAGTCAGTGTCAAAGGACTGAGGCCAGATTTGAACTCAGATCCTCCTGATTCCAGGGCTGGTGCTCTTTTCACTGCGCCACCTAACTGCCCTGAGACTTTGTTTTTCAGAGCTCCTGTCTGAATTTCCAAATTGGGTTCAAAATGCTACTTCAGAGCTTTGTCAGCTCTGTTCTGCTCCATCTACAGACAGGTAGACTGCTTCCCTAAAATCTCTGGCCAATTAGCATCTTGGTTTTTCTGAGAATCCTTTTTATCTGTTATATAAACTTATGGAGATATCCTTACTTTGTTGCACTTACCAAGAATAAGCCCCAAACATGCTACCCTCAGCTGATAGGATTTAGAGCTTCAGGTTAGGAAGAAAAGAGTGTGATGAGTAGAGAACTGTCTTTGAAACCTGGAAGACCTGGGTTCTAGTCCCACCTCTGACGCACACAGGCTCTGTAATCCGAGGCAAGTCACTTAATGTCTACTCTAAGTAACTCTCTAAGATTTTAAGTTGTATAGCCTTGATAAAGGTAGTTTCCTCATTTGGGAAATATTCCCTATACTAATGAAACCAAGTCTAATTCTTATCCTTCAACATGTCAACGTTTGAGAAGAGGTATAATGGGGGTGGGTAGGAAGGCAGATTCTGGACTCAGTGTTTGAGTTGCAAGGGACCTTAGATTATCTGATCAACCTATTCATTACGCTGAGAAGAAGCCTGGGACCCAGGGTGACTTTCAGCTTGCCAGCAAAGCCTTTTGACTTTAGTCCAATACTCTTTCCACTGCATCATGATTTCATCTAGTAATAGCTGAAACACTGCTCGCTTCATCAGCATTTCTCTCATTTTGAGAATTATAGTAGGGGTTCAGTTTTTTTAGTAGTTGTCAGTGTGGAAAACAGCTTCTGAAAATCATATAAACACGTTTGAAATGGTGATGGAAACCCATCCTAAACAAAAGTTTTGTCCTGCCTATTTCTAAATTCAGTTGGAAACTGCTTCCTGAATGGTAGAACTTTTCACTCCTTCAGTTCCTTCAGTGGTAGACTCTGCCCTCCCTTATTCTTTTCTGCCTAGTTTGCCATTTGAGCAGAGGAACAGGTAGGCCACTCAACTCTATTCCTCCAAGACATTTATTTATTACCTTCTTCCTACCTACTTAGCACATTGCTCTTTCATGCTATGAGATGAATATGTCATTCTAAAATATAGAAATTACATTTTTAATTGAAATAATTTCCTAGAGGCTGATCCATTATTTGCTGTTATCATTAATGATCAATTTTGGGATAAGAGTAGATAATAATCTATTTTTTGAAAACAGAATTCAGCTTTTATCTTAAAATAGTTCAGAAAGTGGGGCAGATAGCCCTTAAGTCATTTCACCTGTGCAGTGGAAGAAATATTCAAACAAAGAATAGCAAAGAATATTCAAAACTTAGTGAAAAACAGAATGATAGTGATGCTTCAGTTCATAAGGAAGCAGACTCACAGATGGTCTCGGGCCAGAGGTCTGTACTGGGTTGTCTTAATGTTTCTTGTCCTAGGAAGGAAATGGAAGACAAAGGAAAAGAAGGCAGATGTACTGCTGCTATCTTCAGGAACCTCTGTGCATTCTTTAAATACGTGGAAAAATTTTAGGGCTGGGCATTGTGCAGCTGTGGTAAAGGCTTAGCTCTTGTTCTTTAGAGAGCCTAATTTTGTTTTCAGAACTTTTCCAATTTGGAACATGACTGAAAAGAGCAGAATGTGTTGGCCTGGCACAAAGAAGGCACTTCATAAATGTTTATTGATCTGTTATTGGTTGATTATCCCATTTGATTTAGATTTTATGTATGCTAAAGCACTCTGTAAATCAAGCATTTAAGTGTGTACTAAGCTATAGGCACTGTGCTAGACACTGGGGATACAAATACAAGGAGTGAAGCAATCTCTATGCTTCAGAAAGGGGATGGGGAGGGAGGGAAGGGGAGAGGCATGTGTCCCAATCCCAGGGGGACAGACTACAGAGACGGGGTCATGAGGAACAGAAACAAGGCCACTTTGCCTAGTTTCAGAGTGAAGGAGGGGTAGTGATGTCCAGTGAGTCTGGAAAAATTGGTTTGGAGCATATTGTGTAGAGCTTTAAAAGCTAAACCAACTTATATTTTAATCTAGAGGCAATAGGGAGCCACTGAAGCTTGAGTAGTAAGTGGATTTACATATCAGATCTGCCCTAAATATCTGTACACCATCCCTCTAGCTGTAGGTGTACTGCAAGCTTCAAAAAGTTCTTAAACAAGCCTTATAGCTGCTAGGCGTAGGGGTTGGTGGAAGGGGAGGGAATACAAAAACAAAGGTGAATGATACTGTGGTTATGTAGTTGAACAGTTTGAGAAAAGGTTGTACACTGGATCCGAAATTTAGTGTATTATGTAGTCAGAATCAGGGTTAGGATTAGCTTGATACCTCCTGTAGTTTGAGGCATCCTCCCCCTTTCCCCAGCCTTCTAAACTTTTGGAGTCAAACAAGCCTTACCTCCTTTCCTTGGATTTGAGCTGTGTATATTTTTATGGTATTAGAGTAATGTATAAATAACTTCCACCTGAGATCACTACCCTGCTTTGGTGAAAAGTGGCTCACTTTCCAAAAAGAACCAGCTTTGGTTTACCTTCTAGATAGATGGGATGGGGAAAGCAAATGCATTTCACACACACACACCCCCATTGAGAGAGGGTTCATACTCTGATTGCAGTATGTTACAGAGAGTTCTTAGGCTGTCTCCCAGTAAATTGCAGAAAGAAGACTACTGGGTCAGGAGACCTTGGTTTGAATCCTGGCCCAAACAAGTTACTAGCTCTGTGACAGTGAACAAGCAGGTCACTTAACCTCCTTATGCCTTAGTTTCCTCATCTGTAAAAGGTGGAGAAATGTGTGCACTGCCTACCTTTTATATAAAGAAAAGCTTGTAAACCTTAGTGTTACATAAATGTCATACCACCCACTGGCCCTAAGACAGAACGGAGGACTCTCTAGATAGATAGCCAAAACCTGTTTTCATGATGTCTCTCTGACCCCGTTTGGACAAACTTGCCAAATGGTGTTTAAGGAGGAAGTTAGCATCTTCATAAACCTGTCTTGATCATGCATTTTCCAAATCTTTCTCCCTAGACAAGAGACTTAGGATGTGGTACAAGGAAACATTGGAAGTGATCACTGCTTTCCCATTTGATCAACATGATAATTATTGTAGGCTGACCAATATGTAAAACTTCCTTTCCTGTGGAGATAAAATAACAGGCACTGACTCTTTTCCACAGGCCAAGAGTGGCATTGACCTGAGTGTATTCAGTTTCAAACTGGCATGTAGCTTCTCTTAAACAGGTTCTCTTGCAATAAATAGGCTCCTTAGTGGTAAATAACCCTAATGTACTCTCAGCTTAACACTTTCTGATGGAACGTTCTGGTTGAAGAATAGCTTAACACAAGTTGTTTCTTCTATGATCCTCCCTTCTTTGTATATTGAAACAACTTGTGTTTATTAATGATTTAGGATCAAAGTAAAAACAATTTTTAAAAGAGTAGCATAGATCCTTTTTTACAGCCAAGATGTTCTTGGGGTTTGCCAAAGATTTAGATAATCATAATGGTTTTGCTGATAGGAAAGCCAAAGGTATAATGAAAGCCTAATAATGAGCGTTAATGCATTTTAGTGTCAGATGCTTCTGCCATATGCCAGAATGAAAGCAACCACAAGAGGGAGCAGGAGCAGCACCTGAAAGGATTAAGATTAAGCTGAGCTAAGGGGTACCAGAGATAGCTAAGCTATTATAACCTATGATACTGCATACTTACATATTGTGAAAACGATTTGAACCAGCTAAAATTATCCTTCCCCAGTCTTTTGACTCATTTTGGCTCCACTTGGTAGGAGGATGACGTGGTAGTTTAATTCTTGGGTTTTTTTTTCCTAGTTTTGTTTTTTAAGAAAAGAGAGAAGATAAATTGTTAAATGTCTGGATTTTCTCCAGAATTGCATTTCGACAAGCTTCCCCATGTTAGCAGATTTGAAGGTAGTATATTTTCAGCTCTGTTACTGGCCAAGTCAGAAAGGTTAATAACACTTTATATATATTTATCTGAAGAGGTATTTGTCTGTAGCTGATGTGAGAATTAGTGCCCTACACTCTTAAGTGATTCGTTTGGAGATTGGCCTTTTCTACCTTTCACGGTTTACTTTTTGCTCTGGTATATAGAATGACAAAGAAGAAAGTGTGGTAAGATTTGCAACCATTTTGCCTGCCTAAGCTAGCCCAGAGAATATGACTGAGACCTTCTTTGATGCAAGAGATAGGAGCTCCAAGTTCTTTGATCCATAGGAGCCTGGAATATTTTCAGAGTTAAATCAAGAATTCTGGTTTGGTCTGCAGTCTTCATTGGCCTCTGGTTTAGTTCAAGACCACCCTGAGAAAATCTTTATTGTGGATGTGATCTCCTGAGGCCAGACAAGAACTAACCTGGTAACCTTGAAGGGACACAGGGCTTGGAATCAGGTCAGACTTTCTGAGACCTAAGCCAAAAGTAGCCTGGCTCTTAGACAGAGCATGGGGTGAATAGCTGTTTGCCTCCTTATACCAGGGTATCAGATGCCTTCTGCCTCTTTCCCGGTTTCCTCCCCCACCCCCATCCAAATAGTACCAGCCATTTTATAATATCTTGCCAAGTGTGTCCAGGTTGAGTTTTGAGTGATAGAGGCCTGATGCTAATACTTCTTTCGAAAAGGACTGTCAGAAAAGCCTGAGCATAAGATAAAGAGACTGAGTTTAGGATGATCCTTTACCACATGGGACTCTTAGAGGTATTTGAGTTGAGTGAAATATTTGAGAGATCTTTTCTCACCTACTATTCAATTCTGACCTGAGGCTACAGTTAGTTTTATTTTTTATAAACTAAAACCATACTGTACTGATCTGAATGATTTTTCAGGGTTTTGTTAGCTTGACTATGCTTAGATTGATAAATTAAAATTACTTGGGGCATGACAACTGAGAGATGGTGCTGAGGGACAACGTTAGCTTTGAAAGTTCCTAGCCATCAAGTAGTCCTCTACATTTGATTACTGGCCTGTAAGCAATTTTGAATTATGTACCATGTTGAAGTAAATAGGAAATGATGGTAGTGATTCCTAAAATACACCAAACAGCTGATTGAGAGACTTTGAATTCCTCAAGTGGTAGCTTTAGGGAAAAAAGCTGTTGAATTTCTCTTGGGTACCTTCTGTGCCCTGGTGATGCATCATCAGTTTGTCCACTTCAGCGTCTGCATATAGCCAAAAAGTTGTGAGAGAGGGTAAGAGGTCTGAATATCTTTCTCTCTTTTTCTGTCTCATACAGTAGCCTTCCTTAAATTAATCTGGTTATTCCAGTCAGTCTCTGCATCTCTGATTCCTTGAAAAATGAGAAGGATTGACAAATGTTGAGTCTATTCAGAAAATAAAAAACTTCCCTTAAATTGAGGGCCTTTCTAGGTCTTGATAGTTTTTTTAAATGGTTAGAGGGAGTTTGAAAATAGTGTGGTATCACGTAAATTGCTCTGCTTTTCCTTCTCACCTTTCCATTAAAAGTATTATTTGCTTGCCATATGCCCATGTTTTCTTAAAGTAGTTTCTACATTTAATCAGACTAGTTTTAGATAAAATGTAGAGTCTCCACTGAGAAGAAACAGCTTTTAAGTAGTAAACATGCCTGCCATGTCCATCTATGGAAGAAGTTCCCTTATTTTGAATCACAAATAGGTGTGTCTTTGGAGAGAAAGTAGTATCTTCAAGTTCATATTGTTAGCTTCCTGACCATCAGAATGAGCTTTAGTAACTCAAAGGAAATGGGGAGAAGAATCCTGATCAAAGGAAATGATAATCATCTATCTCCAGTCATTCTCTTAACCTCAGCGTGCTGTGTTTTCTTTCAGTGGATATGCTGCTGATGAAATCACCCACTGCATACGACCGCAAGATATCAAGGAGCGTCGAGCTGTCATCATCCTTAGGAAGTAAGTGCCAAAACTCAATTGTTTTTCCACTCGGTTGTTTTATATATACATCTTTGCATCTTTCTGGATCCTATTTGTAAATAACAACTGAGGTATATTTTAAGTCTGGGAGATATTTGTGCACCAAAGGGTGGGTGTCTGGCAGAATGGCAGCCTTAGTTTCATTTTACCCCTTCTTGATTTTAATTTTGTAGGTATAAAGATTTTTCATCTGGAAGCTAAGTACTTCAGTGAATAGATAGGAGTGCTGTGAAAAATCATGTGCTATCAGTATTTAAAAGTACACTAAGACCAAAAGATTTGAGAAAATAAGTTCATTTTCCCATACCCAGAGACTACCTGAAATTCTTATTATCACAACTTGTAATATACTTTTTTCTTGTTTAAAAAATTTAATTAATATACTTTAAAAGTATTTTTAGACACTGCTTTCACAACCTTCTTTCAATTGTCAAGGTTTTTATATATGATAGGGAAAACAGAGAGTAACAGAAACTAATCAGATGTCTGAGAATCTAATTCTGTCACCATTTCCCATATAAGGAATTGATGACCAACTTGTGGTAAATTTAGGCTGTGGTGGAAAGAATCAGGAAGTGTTGACATACTACCTGTGGCCATGTAAGTTCTCCTAATTTTCTTTCATCAGATAAATAGACTTAGAATCATGGAACTGTAAAGCAGAAAAAAGAGGTCTTTTTTTTCTTTTAAGTAAGGCAGTTGGGGTTAAGTGACTTGCCCAACATCACACAGCTAGTACGTGTCAAGTGTTGGGTCTGAGGTCAGATTTGAACTCAGGTCCTCCTGACTTCAGGGCCAGTGCTCTATCCACTGCGCCACCTAGCTGCCCCAAAAAGAGGTCTTTAAAGAGCATCAAGTCCAGTCCCTTCATTTTGGAGATGAGGGAAACAACCTCAGAGGTGAAAGACAGTACTTGCCCAAGGTCATATAGCTTGTTTAGAGGCAGAACCAGCACTACAGCACAAGTCTCCTCTCAATTTGGTGTTATTCAGAAACCATAATTAGAATGTTCCTTTGTAACTTAGCCTATTTCTTTTCTCCTTCCCAGGGCCCCCAGGCTTCAGTTCAGTTTGTCATGATCAGCAGACATTTATTAAATGTCCATTATATGGTGGGTACTGGGAATATAATAATAAATGACAAGCCTAGCTTTTAAGGAATTTATATTCAACTGCAGTGGTTTGGACTTTTTTACTCATGACTGTGCTTTTTGCCATAAGGAATTGCAGCACCCTAGACATTTAAGTTGACAGTGCTGTGGTAGAATAGTTGGGTGACTTGAATATGCACAGTTGTCTTTAAAAAGAGTGGCCTTTTTTGTTGATTTTGCTACAACTTCAAGGTCTGACATTTTTTGAGATTATTGTGTACATATAGGCACATTTTGTTTTTGCAAATGCTATACTTAACCACATTAATATGCTGGGTAAGTGAAATGTATGTTAAATAATTTTTTTGAAAATCTTTTATCTGCAGTTACGTAACATCCAAAATTTCACGGCATACCTAACAACACTTGAGGCACACACCCTTTTAGAACCACTGTTCCACTGGGAAAACATGCATATATGCAGATTAAAGATAATACAAGGTAGTGTTATAGAAACAATAGAAAGATTCAGTCAAAGTATCCTAGAACTTTAAAGAGGGTAAAAAGACTTTACAAACTTCAGGAAATACTTTTATCCTCAGCATGTAGCATTGTTCCCGGCACATAGTAGGCACTTGATAAATGCTTGTTGATTTATTGATCTGCCTTTTTACCTTCCCTGTTTTACCTGCTGCTTTCCCTTTGTACTTCATTAACAAAAAGATTGATCACATAGAGTTCATCTGTCCTGTTAACAAAAGGAGCTGCCTGATTGTCAGGCTTTTTTGGGGGGGGGCGGGAGAAACAGTGTCTCACTTGTACTTTTCAAAGTCCTGGGGATATAATCTTCATTTTTGAGAGGTGTTAAGAGATTTCCTTCACTAAAATCTTTCTCCTTTGCCATCTAATGGTATAGAAGTGTTCCTGGTTTATCAGGAAGCCTTGGCAGGTTGTGACAAAGGGTTTAGAGCATGGACCTGGTGACACATTATGGCTCCGTCTACCAAAGATCACCCTCCCTAAGTTTAGAGAGACTCTTAACTTAAAAAGTTGGTCATAAGATAGAGAATCTTGCCTAAAAAAAAAAAAAAGAGAATCTTTTTGGCCATAGCAGTCCACAAAAACTATCTTCTGAGGTGTTTCTGGGTTACTATCTGCATTGATAGGAGTAACTGACTGTATGATAAAATGAAAATGCAGATCCTTATTCATAATGGCCGACTTTGTTTTTAGTACTTAAGATTTATAAAACATGTCACATCACATTTGTCTTAAAATACTAGAAATTATTTAAATCATCTAAAGTCAAACCTTCTAACTCAGAAGAAACAGGCTGTGGCTAGGGAGGTCAGTTGCTCAGACCCTTGTAGAGAATATGTAAACTCAAGAGGATCTGGCAGCACAGAACTGAAGTTCTCTGCCAGTGAAGGCAGCCAGGTGGCAAAGGAGAAACCTGGGCATCTGGCAAGGTATCAACTTCTGACACAACAGCCAAAGAAGTGGCAGGCCAGGAACAATTGCATCTCAATGGGAGCCAAGAGTTACTCCCGTTAACAGGAGATTGAAAGGGTAGGGCAACATCATTCCATGTGTTCCTGGTCACAGAAAAGTCTCTGACTTCAGGTTGATGTGCTGGTCCTAGAACTAGTAGTAAATTATCTTCTTCTTTGCTGTCCTCAGATAAGAGTCTGGTTTTAGTGGTAAGAGCATTGTCCACAGAACTAGGAGACCAGGACACTAAGCCTGAACTTCCAATGCCTCAGACTAACTCCTCCTTTCTGTTCAATTATTTGTATACATCAGTGGGCAGAAGTTACAGGAAAGCAGATTTCAGCACAGAATAAAGAACTTTCTATTACTTTTTATTTTATTTTTTTCTTTGTTTTAATATCACCATTCCTGAATGTGTTCCTTTTACTGTGCCTTGTAACAAAAGGTTTTTTGGTGGTTTTTTTGGGGGGGATGCAAATTCATGTGTGCTTTAAGGGGAGGGGCAGGGTAGGAAGCAGTTCAATAAAACCAATCTACATATCACCACTATCTGACAGGGTATAATATTCCACATCTAGTGTCCTTCACTTCTTCAGAAAACAGAGGAAGGAAAGGGCTTGACTCAGGGCTTCACACTTAATGATTCGGTTTAACTTTTGTTCTTTCATTTAGATTGTTGTATTTATTATTCTCCTGGTTGTGTTTGCTTCACTCTTCATCAGTTCATGTCTTTCTTTGGTTCTCTGACTTAAAAGTAAAACTTTCTAATGAATGATGCTGCCCATCAGTTATTTTTTTTGTTTGTTTTTTGTTTTGGCTAGGCAGTGGGGTTAAGTGACTTGCCCAGGGTCACACAGCTAGTGAGTGTTATGTGTCTGAGGATGGATTTGAACTCAGGTCCTCCTGAATCCAGGGCCAGTGCTCTATCCAGTGCACCACCTTGCTGCCCCTGCCCATCAATTATATAGACTGTATCAAGAGATAACAATTTCCTCCTGTAAAAGAAGATATTTGAGCAAAAACTGTAATTATTTAAAAAAACCTTTTTTATTTATTTTTTTTTTAAAAAGCACCTACTGTGTGCAGAGCACAGTGTGCTGGGACAAATACAAAGTTTAGGTAAGACATAGTCCCTGCCCTCAGAGATTTAGGAACTTAGTCTAGTACCTCTAGATGACCATCTGTTAGGCCTTCTCTGTGCAGCGTCCCTACTTTGGTTAAGCAGCTGAACCACATAGATAAATAGCCGTTAGAACAGTGATATCAACTCAAATAGAAATGGGAGCGACTAATCCATACATAAAACACCTATGGCCCTCATATTGTCTTAGTTTTAAAATGTAATATTATCCTTGTTTTATTGTATTTTTATTTTGTTAAATATTTCCAACTACATTTTAATCTGATTTGGGCTGCACTTGGGAGTGTTGTGGGCCGCCTGTAGCCCAGGTATTTGACTCCTGTGCTCTAGGATCCTTTCTGTACCTATTCCAGGTATTATAAGATCAAGATGATAATTTGGAAGTGTTTTTAGATATGTAGAGAGTAAATTGAAGATTATTGCAGGAATCAAAAGAATAGAGTAGCTGGAAGAGGTCTAGGATGGCTATATCAACTAGTGCCTTCACAAATTCTCATTGACCTAATCTAGGTTTCTTAGGCTATGCAAATTATTTTTATGAGCAAGAAAATATGGTTAGAACATTAAGATGTTGTCATAGAACACATCTTCTTAGTACATTGAGCTATCAGGAGGGAATCTGAAGACCTCTTAACATTCTGTCTTTGGAAAAGCCAAGGCTGTGGTGGTGTTTGCATAATCTACTGTATTGTGAGACTGTGAAATGGGACCCAACCCCAGGTCACTTGAAATGAGAGTATCAGTAACTGTTTGTTGGTCTTTTACCTAATCCATGTCACGTAATCACTTTGAAAACATCTATTTCTTCTACATGAGGTCTTAGTGTTGCTCATGTATTGGTGAAGCTAGAACTTCTCATGTATCCCATCATACACGGTAATGTCTTAGGTTAAGGGAATAATAGCTTAAGTTTTTCCCTCTGGTGCATAACTATTAAGTAGTTTGTTCTTTTGAGTTATTTACTTACATACTTCTATGGTGTTCCAGTCTTCTGAAGACACATGCAATAAGCAAAAGGTGTTTTTTGTTTGTTTATAGTAGATAGTCATTGTATCTGTTGACCATATTAAATATATTTGAGGGCTGAAGATAGCATGTTCCTATATACAGAATTGCTTTCATCCCTTCCCACTTGATTTTCCCAATCCTCTACCCAGGATATAGGAAATGAGATTTGATTTTAGGGTACAAGGTAGAGATAATAGCTGACATTTACTTTAAAATAACTGACAGTACTTTAAAATTTGCAAAACATTT